TTTTTTCATCTACATTAAGGTTTTCGTCAATAGTTTCATCTAAAATTTTAAAAACTATATTAGTACTGTAGTAGTACTGTAGTAGTAAGCATTACTTTAATTTCTTCAATTCTGATTTAATTTACTTGGTCGGTTATAATTCTGCCTGAATTTCAATAAATCTTCATTGATAATAACTCTAAATAGTTTAGAATATTAAATAACTTTAGTAAGTTTATTATTATACTAAAAAAAAAGCTTTCAAAGCAAGATAAAAAATATATATAAAGTAAAACAAAAGACCAACTTTAAGGGTATGATCTTTCTCAGCTTTGGAACTTATCTTACTTTAGACTTAAAAATAAGAAAGTGCGTATCTAACTAAAACACTATTCATTATCTTGTGATTGTGGTTTCCTTTTAGAAAACCCCTGAAAAAGCCATTTGAAAAGAACCTACTATTACAATTTACTATAAAAAATGGATTGATCATATAGATGTCAATCACTCAAATTTCATAGTAAAAAATTTACCCCTGTGATCTGTGTGACAAATCGTGTGACTGTAATTTAATTTCTTCCAATCCTTAAATGTTATCCTAACTGAAATAAGATATATAGATTTTTCACTATCTCCACTATTATTTACTATGACTTCAATTACATCTGAATTATTTGTTTTAGAAGATGACGAGCTATTACTTGTATTGTTAACATGAATTTTGAAGTTATCAAATTCAGAACGTTCATCAGAATATGTATTAATATCTAAAATATTTATTATGTCCAGGTTATTTGTTTTAGATGATAACATGTATTGTTAATATGAATTTCGAAGTTATCAAATTTAGAACATTCGTCAGAATATATATTAACATCTAAAATTGGTAAGATATTTATTATATCTGGGTTATTTGTTTTAAATAATAACAAGCTATTACTTGTATTGTTAATATGAATTTCGAAGTTATCAAATTCAGTATGTTTATCAGAATATGTATCAATATCTAAAATCAGTAAGATATTCATAAAAATAAACTAGACGCAGTAAAAGCTTATAATCAAGATAACTTGAAAATAAAATATGCTACAAAAGCTAAGAGTAAGATCAAAACAAATAAAACTATATATATTAAAATATAAGAGAAATGTAGATATATGTTAAATATGATAAATATGGTAAGTATATATTATAGCTTCTTTCTAATAGTTCAAGTAACGAAAAATAGTAGAGAAAAGAGTTGTATCAAAACAAAAGAATTACCCCTTTTATAGATAACTACAATTGGGGTTAGAGTTTTGTATTTTGTATATTAAAGTTTTTTTTTTTTTAAGCGATCCTGCCTTTATTCAAATTTAATGAACTGCTATATGACGCTGTGATATATCAACGAGACTGAATATTCTTATCTAATAAAAGTTCACCAAGCCTAAGCCCAATGCGACTAGCTATAACAACTATTAGTTACCCCGGGATTCAAAACTTGCTTCGAATTTCGTAATGATAAGGTTACTTCCCAAGAGTTATGACAGGTTGTTGTATATCATGTCAGAATCTTTTCTTTCTCTTCTAATTCTTCCTTCTTCTCAAGGGGCACGAGATAAAAGAGGGAAGTTTTAAAAAGTAAACAAAATAAAAACGACCAACAAAAACCCAAAAAAACATCAAAAAGAGTAAAAAAGGAACACATATTTTGAAAAAGAAAAAACAAAAGAGAAAAAAAAAAAACTCTTAAACCTATATCATGGCTGAAAAATTATATAATACTCTTAAATTTAGCTCTACTCTAAATTTAGTTCATATTATATATAAATGTCTTCGGGGTAGAGTTAGCCCTGCAAGAATTATTATAAAAAGTTCTTCAAATGGTCAATGTCAGTCCTTGTTTCACATGACACAGTTTGATTCTTTGATGCTCATCCTAATTCATATCTCGAGCCAGGTGCTGCTGCTGTCCAAGAACCCGTATTTCAAGCCACCTGCTGCCATAATCAGAGTTCCCGAGTTGCCGAATCTGTGTTTTCTCGTGACTCCTATTCCCAATTTGAAAATGGTAAACAATGCAGATCTTTTGGAGAGGTAAGCCGATTTTCTCACTTTTTGTTTAGCAAAAATTCCCTAAAAAAAACCAAACCAAGCAAGAATATAGTCTAGGGTATATGGTTGCAAGAACTTTACAAATTTCTAAGGAGTGTGTTGAAATCACAAGTTGTTTGTTGTTTCTTCTGTGTTCTTCCAAAAAGTAACAGCCTAAAAGCTTCGTCGATGAATACTACATCTTTGCCTCTCCACCAAGATTTTATATCCAAGAGCACCATTTGCCAGTTATCTTGAATACCAATGCTCTTGGCTTGCATGCTGAACAGCCTAAAGAGAAGTCCTGGGCAAAGAAAACCATTAACCTCTCGCCAAACTGCAAGTTAGGCCACAACTCTCTAACAAAAACTTTGTTTTTCGTTAGCAGAAAATTTGGTCCAGGTGATATTAAAGTTTAAATTTCAATTAAAAATAAGTAAAACTCAAATCCAATAATGTGTAATGATCGGCGTTGTATTGAGCATGTGTTCATATACAACCTGGAGGTGCTGACCTCGATTTTAGAACTGGTGTTAAACACCAGTGATTCGATTTAGTTTTACTGAAATTTTATATTAGTAAAATTAAAATAATCAAATGAATTATAATTTTATATAATTTAAATATAAGAAAAAGTGCAAATTCTAAATAATCTATCTGAATATTGTACTTATTTTTCTAATTTTTTTTTGATTAAAAAATCTTTACAAAGACTATTACAACAAAGTTATACTTGATTTTTTGTATAAAGTTCATATTAATTCTAACTTACAAATATCAAAGATAGAATTTTCTAATAAATTTGATATATTCTATTAGTCGAATACTTAAAAGCTACATATTAAAAAAAATTTTTTTAAGTGTAATTTTATTCTTTTACACTTTAAAAACAACTTGTAAAAATTTCTAGCTAATACAATGTTTGGTTAATTAGTTAAATAATTTTGAAATAAATTAATATTAATAGATATTTAATACTATAATAAATTAATTAATTGATTCATATTATATAATATGAAAAATCTGTAATATAGTAAATTATATAGTTAGCTAATATAGTTTTAATTAATTAGTCAGTATGCCACCCCAGTACCATATAGTAAATAATAAGTATTCATCAACAGTTTGTGTGCTTTAAACTTATGCTTTAAAGTAAAATCAAATTAGCACAAATAAATAAAATTGAATAATAAATATTCATTACTTCGACAGCTTATATAAATACTCTTTATACCTGTATTATTATTTTTTTTTTTGTTAAGTGTCCAGAGACTAGAGTTTATTGACGTTTTAGATATAAAAGATTACAAGGACCCTCGTACAAATTGCATTTACAGTATCGAATTTAATCTAACCAGTCCATACTTGACATATATTTTACCCTAGTATCTTTATATCCAGCACTGCTATCTACTTTATCTATATTTGGTAAACTAATTATCTTACCTAGATGGGTGTAGACTGCATATACCCACCCCAACCCTTCTGTGTTCTACACATTCCAGATTAGATATCAAAGATGTTACGTCTTTAAACTAAAGTTAGTACTTGGATATTACTCCTACACATCCCCTGCCTTTATAGGGTTCACATCTACCTCGATGCCCACTTTACTTCCCTTTTAGGTCCTTCTTCCCAGCTTGATATTTGATCCCAGTTAGTTAGCCCGGAACGAGATTAGTTTATTTCGGCTTTAGGTACTCTTAGACTCTGAACTCCTGGTATGAAATTTTATAACACTTGTCCTTTTCCTCCGGTGCAACTCTGGCGGCTACTCTAGTCGACCCCTCACCTCAAGAGATCTAGTCCAAACAATATCTCGGGACCGGTGCTATCCAAGTTCCATTCTACAGCATCATCGAAAGCTTCTGTTACGGATCTTTCCAAACGGGTTTTCGGTTATCCCAGCTTCCTAGGATTTACATGGCATTGACTTATTATAGAGTTTGCACCTGATAATTACCGGAATGCATTTCTCTATGTAATCTGTACACAGATGCAGGGCCTATGCTCTACCACTTTGCAATAGCTTACTTCCTATTTGAGAATGGTGTTATCTAATATTACAAATTGAAGATTCAAGCCATTTTTGAGATAGTCGTTAACCTTGCACAGCCTAGTATTTGAAAATGTTGTCCGTGGGATTCGAACACTAAACCTGCTGCTTGGTGGGGTGATGACTAGACCACTTCACTAAGTCACTACACCCTTTACCTGCATTATTAAACTAATATGAATAAATAAATTAATAAATTAATATAATTAAATTCAAGTAATTTATATTAAGCTCATATTATATATAAATCTAAAATTATATATACCTTTTATTCTTAACAAAATAGATAAGAAGAGAATAAACTTTCAACTTACAGAATTAGAGCTGGTGATCATATTCAATTTATTATTACAATATATACTATATCTAGAGATAAAACTATTATAAATTATATTAAATATTGTATAATTATTTAGTTATACAAATGTTTCAAAAATTCCAAAACATAGACCTTTTTTTAGATGATTTTATAGAGATTACAATGATTATAAATAATCTTAATTAGAGCTCTACAAGTGCTAAGCATGGTGTCAAAAAAACATAGTATCTAGCATGCAAGCATTATGTTTTTTTGACACCATGCCTAGTATTTGCAAAACTCTAATCTCAATATATAAGATTACTAGTATTGTAAAAATTTTTGCTGTGTTTGAGAAATTTGAGTTTAAAATCACAGATTGTGGCTTTAGATCAAAGATCTTGGTTCAGGACTATCGATATTGGTCTGAGACCGTAGGTTTTAATTCAGAACTACCAATCTTGGTTTAAAACTGTAGATCTTGAGTTTAAACTATGGCAGATTAAAATATATAAATATTAGACCCGAACTAATAAAAGAAGAGAATTCTATGAGAGTTTTGTTTGATATATAATAAATAATATATTTAATTTTACTCTACTAAATACATTTTTTAATAACCCATTATCATTAATTCTGAATTCTTTATAAACATTCAACTTGTATAAGCTATGTTTATAACTCTGAGCTAATTTGACCTAATATTAGCCAGTTTCTCTCACAGTTGCAACACTGGACTATGTTTTGAAACTTTTGAAACACCCAGTATAAATATATGCTAAAAAGTAAAAATCTAAAAATAAATATTTACTAGTAAGTTATTACTATTTGTAATTAATCTGAAAATTAGCATCATAATCTACTGTATTATTAAACTTATCAAAACACAAATCTGATTAATATTGGTATTAATACTTTAGAAGCTAAAACTTAAATATTCATTTCTGAAGTTTTTACTCTTTGGCACTCAAATATAATAATACAGATAGGTAGATTAGCTTAGAGTTATAAACATAGCTTATACAAGTT